AAGTCATTGTGAGTGTCATTCTTATTAATGTTATTTTATAAAATAAGGTACATGTAAGATAAAAGTACATAAGTGACTAAGATGTTTCTGCAACAGCTCCAGCTCGCTGACCTGCAGGGTATACGTCAGCGTCCGAATTCGTTCACTTCATTTCGTTCACTCCTTTCTGCACTCAACTGCCATACACTATAGAACTTTTTCCTGAGTAACCGGTGAGCGGCGCCATGATGGATTCTAACTTCCGTTTGGGTGCTCTCATGTTCCGGTCTCCATAGAAATCCATGTTAAAACGGGGTAAAAAAAGATTGACTGAATTGAAACTTTTTCAATATAACTAAATCTGAATGTGCGCAGGGTTAAGCTGTGCTGTTGTTTGCTGCCACAGTAACGGCAATAAGCTAAAGGAATTCCTTTAAAGTACTTGTTTTTCGTACCATAAAATCGGTCCATGTCCGGCACTGTATGCATGGTTTGCAGCGCTTAAGTTAAAATACTGAGTGTGAAATAATAAAATAATATGTTAAAATAATGTGTGCTTTTATCATTCTGTGGACAAAATCCCGTGAACTTCGCCCTGATCGGGAGCTGTATGTGCGCTCATCTGTTTTCAATGCAGCTAACGTTGCGTCGCTTCATGTCATTCCCACTCATTAAACTATGACAGGACCTTTACTGCAAAAAGACGGTTATTGCGACACTGTAAAGTGATGAAACTATGGCGCCATGTGCTTTTTAAAACAATTTTTATGGGTTTCATGTTATATTATCGGCTCGGACAATATGATACTATAAAGTGATGAAACTATGGCGCCATGTGCTTTTTAAAACCATTTTTATGGGTTTCATGTTATATTATCGGCTCGGACAATATGTAAATGTGACTAGAAACCAGAGACCGGAAATGTGAAGCACCACTCCAGTCGGGCGATACTTCCACGTTCAGAAAAAGGTCTATATAGGGATTAGTGAATGAATGAACGAGTGAGCCATTTCAGACACAGCTAATAATTTGGATTAAACGTATGCCTGTAATGTAAAATTGTAGACAATGTAAAAGTTTGAACTCTGTCTCCTTAGATATGTTGACAACATACTGCCAAATTTGTGTCCAAGAATCTACATCCACTGACAGCCCCAAATCTTGTTCCCAAATAGCTATGGTTACCTCATTATTGACCTTTGCTCCTTGTAAAAGAGCTTCATAACATCGTCATAACATTAGTGTCCTCTTAGATCTAATATCCAGGAGCACCTGTTCTGTTGGAAATAAGTACAAAAATCAAGGCAAGATCATCTTCATCAAAGCTATCCTTCCTAGCATGGACTATGGCAGGGGAGTCCATCTATGCAAATAATCATGCACCAGTCAAAGAGAGAGTTAAAGAAAAAGAGAGTTAAAATTAGTCCTATACATTTGCTGTAATAGTGGAGTGACTCCAAGATAGGTAAAGCCATGCCTAGCCCTAGGAAAAGAGGTCGGGATAAAAGTATTGTATTGTATAAAATTATCCCCCACTTCAAAAAATTTTATTAATCAATATAAAATAAAAAATATAAAAATATATATTTATATAAAAAAAATTATATAAAAATGTATAAAACAAAAACTCCCATTCAACCCAATCGAATGCTTTTTGAGCATCTAAAGAAAGTGATATTTTTTTTAACTATGTGGCTAAAAAGCATAAACCTTTTTAATTGTATGTATTAAGATATTGTTATTATGCACAGAGCACCTTTCTATGCTTATGCAAATCCAGATTTACATTTTGATTGATCAATCATAGCATTCTTCTGTCAAATGTATTTGTACTGCTAAACTGTATATTTGACCATTGTCCTTGGCAACCAGTCTCTTTCACTGTGCTAGTTTAACTTCTCTTGTAAAACTTCACAATCTCTACATATTTAAACAATCATTAATTTATGTCTATTTATTTACTAATTTGGCAAACCAAATAATAAGTGGGATAATGCACCAGACATTATCCAGCCTGACATTATCACAAAATTAACTCCTTCAGGATGACACATTTATAATAGACAGACATGACTGTAAGAGCATGAAAGGGTTAGTTCACCCAAAAATGAAAATTAGCCCATTAATTACTCAACCTCAAGGCATCCTAGGTGTATATGACTTTCTTCTTTCAGACGAATCCAGTCGGAGTTATATAAAAAATTGTCTTTGATCTTTCAAGCTGTTTAATGGCAGTCAGCGGGTGTTGCAGTGCATCAGTCCAAAATAAGTGAAATAAAGAGCATGCATCCATAATAAAAAGTGCCTCACACGGCCCCGGGGGGTGAACAAAGTCCTCCTGTAGCGAATCGATGCGTTTTCGTAGGAAAAATAACCATATTTAAAATGTAATAATCAATTTAATCTAGCTTGCGCTCACTGTTGTACACAGAATCAGCTCCGGGCGGATGATGTAAGACGTCGGCGTTGCGCATGCACCACTCAGATGTGACGAACGCGGAAGCACAGGGCAGAGATCAAAACAAAACAACGATCACGAATTAGAAGTACAAAACGAGGATTTGTAAAGAAGAATGTCGGAGGATTTCGATATAAGCCAAGAGGAGACTGGTTTTCCTTTGCTAAAGTAAGGAAACTTTGCTTCCTTTGCTCCTATAAACAAACGTTGGTTTTCACGAGACTCACCGACAACACCGATATCTTACGTCATCCTCCCGGAGCTACTTCAATGTACAACTGTTGGCGGACGCTTGATTAAAGTGATTATTACGTTTTGAATATGGATATTTTTCTTACAAAAACACATCGATTCGCTACAGGAGGCCTTTGTTCACCCCCCAGAGCCGTGTGAGGCACTTTTTATTATGGATGCATGCTCTTTATTTCACTTCCTTTGGACTGATGAACTGCAACACCCTCTGACTGCCATTAAACAGCTTGGAACATCAAAGACAATTTTTAATATAACTCCGACTGGATTCGTCTGAAAGAAGAAAATCATATACAACTAGGATGACTTGAGGGTGAGTAATTTATGGGCTAATTTTCATTTTTGGGTGAACTAACCCTTTAAGATATTTAATAATCAATTTAATCTAGCTTGCGCTCACTGTTGTACACAGAATCAGCTCCGGGCGGATGATGTAAGACGTCGGCGTTGCGCATGCACCACTCAGATGTGACGAACGCGGAAGCACAGGGCAGAGATCAAAACAAAACAACGATCACGAATTAGAAGTACAAAACGAGGATTTGTAAAGAAGAATGTCGGAGGATTTCGATAAAAGCCAAGAGGAGACTTGTTTTCCTTTGCTAAAGTAAGGAAACTTTGCTTCCTTTGCTCCTATAAACAAACTCGCGAGACTAGCATACCTCAGAGG